TCAGAGGTCCATATTCATTACACAATTATTATTACCATGGCTTAACCCTCTCACTAGATGTTCATTTCTTTTCTATCTCCTTCTTTCTTTCTAAATAATTATTATTCTTAAGATTACGAAGTTTGTGACTACGACAATAAACTGTGTTACATTTAAATAAACTTCTCAGACTCGTTTTATTTTCACTATGCATATATGACTCATACATATTGATATTTCATTGTCCTTTTCACTTATTTGAGACGTTCATAGCATCACTTCAAACTACGACTTCACAGCCACTTAACCAAACGTCATATCTTACGGAAATAATTAGTTATTTTTTTAGTTATTTTCTATTTTGTTTTTGTCACTAATTTGGCGATACATACATAGTCGTTTATTCTTGTTCCGAGTACACAAACAAGCCTATTAAACTATTTGCGTATTTCACGTCTCCTTTATCTCTATTCTCTTGTTTTCTTCCTTTCCTTCTTTAAACAAAATTCAATATTCTTCTAAACTACACAGGACCTGGTTTATTACTATTTATTATTGTTATTACTCTCTTTTTTAAATATGGTAAGTATAATGCTAACATAATTGAATCTTGTGTATTATTGCATTTCAGATGAAACCCGAAAGGGTTTGTTTACAACACTTATGTACCCATAAGATGTTTGTGAATAATAATAATGAAGTCGATTCAATATTCTTCTCAGTTATATATAATGTAACGGAAAGAGAACAATGAAAATTCCTCCGCAGCCTTTTTGTTGGACAGTCCTGTCATTTATTTGTTTCTTCTCCCTGTCGTGTATTTTAACCTTTGTTCACATCTCGTTTAACCAAAACTTTTGTTATTCAATCTTCCTGGCCTGGGCTTTTGTTGAGTGATTTTGATTGAAGACTTATCTTTTGTTACCTACTTTTCTATTGCATATTGCCGGACTATTGACAGTAAGCTCGTGTTTGACTAAGCTCAAGGTCACCGCGTAATTCAACGTATGACTGTCAACGTTTTGGCGGTCTGCTTGGGAGGATCGCTGTAATCTCTGCAGATAGATATTTGATCCCATTTTGTTGAGAATATTTTTATTGATTCTCAGCGCGCTACTTTACGTTAGAGAAACTTCTGACTGTAAAGCGCAGTCTGTGCCGCTTAAGGTACTTTGTATTTCTGATATAATTTGTTCTGTTTCCTAAATTAGAAGCGTTTAAATTGAGCACAGAGTTTGTGTTTCGATATAATTCAATACGAGTGTCCCAAAAACTCCTGGTAAGCTGTACAGAAGAACGTAGTCTGACCTATTCGAATACATTTTGGTTCGTCAGTGCTGCGTTCAAACCGAATACTGGCAGTTCGGTCGTTACACATAACCTGACTTTTTATCATTCTTCTATTGTCATTGTTTTCTTTTTTCTCATTTTCAAATATAGCAAACATAATGCCAACATTACTGAAACTTATGTATTACTGCAGTTCTGAAGAAAATCGGATTGGTTTCTTCACAACACTCATTCACCCATATGATATTTGTAAAGAATAATAATCTGTTCTTTTTTTGTGAATTTTTTGCACGCCCAGCATTTTTTAAAAATACTGATATTCTAGGCGATGTGATTTGGCAAATAGAAAGACTACATTGACAGGGCAGTAATCTCGGTTTTCATATTGTCCAGCTCAATACAAAGTTTGATTAACAAAGAATTTATTCAATACGGTTGACGATATCTGTAAGAATTACAGAAATGAAAGCGAGATGGGGCTTCTAAACTTCATAAACAGCATACAGTATCTGTAGTCTTGTTATGTTTCTGTCGTGTGAAAAGTTTGTTTACGTCAACCTAATATCCGGAGGGAATTCAAAAAGTCTTGTTATACAGGGTCGTATATATTAATATTTTCTTCATATCTTGGAATTCTTTCGAACGGAACAAACTGTGTTGGGCTTCATGAACGTAATGGAACATGACTCCGAGTATATCGTCTATGTAGTTATTATTCTGTTACTGCAGTTATTCTCATAGTACATATTTAAAGATATCGCGATGCATGTGGTCACAGTACCATTGATTACAGTACAACAACAAATACCATCCACCAGTGCGATAATCAATTCGCAGCCCCATTATTTTTACCTTACAAACTGGGACTCCACGCTATGTAAATGCAAAACTATTAATTTTAATCAGTGCTATCCACTTAACAGCGGCTTATTAGGACATGTTCCTATTCACCATTTTTCCACCCTGATATTCTATGGACACCACAAATCACTTTATGTCATATTACATCCTCCTCCTTTTCACGATTTATTCCACTGTCATACTCATAAACGATATACAAGTCATTAGTTTTGAAAAACACGTATATAAGTTCTGTTTCGAGTTTGTTCTGGGCGTGAGAATAAGTTCTATGGCGATATACTACGAATGTGATACCGAAAGAAAAGCAAAACAAGGGAACAACGCATTCGGAATCAAACTCTCAAAAATTCTCAGCTATCTTATGTAGAACAGAAAAAGGTATGGTAAATGTCTAGATAAAACTCATACTTGCTCTGATTACAAGAATGAAATTTGACCCAAAATTTCCTCAGATAGAAGAATACAATGATAAAGAACAAGGAGTTGTGATGTTTAGTAAGGCATAATAGGATCGAATGATGCAGAGATAGTAGAAGTTAGGATCAGTAAGGCTATTCAGTAAAAACGAAGGTGAATCAGAAGTGAGTAAAGTTTTAACAAACGTTAATAACTATATCTTTTGTCATGTATAACTTTTTATCATTCTTATTTTCTCCATCAAATCCTAGTCACTTGGTTACAATACAAGAGACTGAATTAGCATGTCATGGATTATCTTAACAGAATAGCAAATCCATCATAAATATGTTACTTGTAGTGATATTGGTTCCCAACCACACTGTCTTTGAAGCTGAACATATAATTGTTGAGAAAATTTGCATTCGATAGGCGAACTTAAAAAAAGTTAAAATTGGTGAGTGCGGGAACACAGAATCCCAATGGCTTTGCTCGGTCACGCAGGCATGGTCACTGTGTAGCGTATCTCTTTCCATGCCAAATATGTTATTATATCCCCAGCCTAAATCTTTATTAAGAAGTGCTGAACATCATGTTGCTGACTTGATGATAGGATGAGTCAGTATTGTCGGCGATGTGACTTCCACGTAGGATTTAATAAATTAGGTAATCACGTGACAAATGTATAACTTTGGGATTGGGTCTATTTCTTTAATAGCAAAAATAAATGTGCTAATGCTGAACGAAGTCATAATTCTACACACTTTCCTATCATACATTGACCTCTCACGTTTCGTTCTACTCCATGAGATCTAATGCGTCTTTTCACTACTTATTATAAACGCTGACCATATACTTCTTGATTTATTTTGTAACCAGACAATTTTTTCAAATTGATGCGTAACTTTCTACAGTTAAGCTCCGTAGTGTCCGGGACCATGTGAAGTTCATATGAGTTATTCTAGCTTCCTGATAGAACAACTTGTTTATTCTTCTTAAGTTAAATTCTGACTTTGTCAATTATTCACTTAATAACCTTGGCTGTTTCTATATGGTGGTATTGTGGTGTGTGCTACTTATATCGACATAAGTAGTATGTGACGTTAGTTATATAGGTCCGTTCATTCAAATCGGAGTCAGACCAACAGGCCACCAAGATATTAGCTAAATTCGATCAAATAATTTTCTAACGAAAAACCAAAAGTATTGGTCTGAATGCACAAACAAAATGCAATACATTGCCAACAAATCACAACACAATACTGGTTGTAACAAAACTTCATAAGTAGTTTGTAATATCTAGAGCTTAGATTCTTAATATACCACGTACTAGTTCGGCACTCAAACACTAGGACCCTCTAGGTAGCGAATAAGATGACAGATGTGTGTAGAGGAATATTATCCCAAGCAGTGTCAAATATGTTACAAACTCCCAGGTATTTATAGCTTTTAGTAAAAACGAAGCCATTGTCATAGTCATCCTATCCTCATACAGTGGTTTTTAGAATTTGTCAACTAGGGAAGCTACACATAAAGATTCTAGAATGTTTTCCCAAAAGATAATGGGATGAAATATCTTCGGCACTTTCTGGCTTCTTAAGCTTCCTTGAGTTCACCCATGGGACATATATAAACGAACAATATTGTTTTCGATCAGACCCTCATCAGGCTAGACTTTTTGACCAAGGAAATATGGCTACTTCACAACCAGCAATGGCAGCTCAGCAAGCAGAATCGGATATGAAAAAGAATTAGACGTCGTCATTATTACCAATATTGTCAACGCCTTAACCAATGGCACATTAGGTAGTCGAAACGTAACAACTCAGAGAAATTAGAAGTCAGAAGCGATGAAATATTTAATATGTCGATATGTCAAGAAGTGACTAAGCTGGCTAGCTATTGTAGGGGATGTGAAACACGGCGTAACCCCCAGTGATCTGGTGAGGGTACGTGACCAAGTGCCTTCACCTAGGTGAATTCATTAAAACTAACGCAGTCAGCACCAAATCTCGAAGACTTACAGAGCTATTGAATTTGGGGATTCCTTTACCGCTATAGAATTTGATACAAGGTATCTAATTATTATCCGAGTGTCAAACTTATTTTCAGGTTAAATTTTAGTGGGATTGTTCCAAGAGATCTATATCCCTCTTGAGGTATGAGGAAATAGTATCGAAAATAATTTTCGATAGTTAGGAGACGTCGAATCCTGGAGAGCAGCCGTACTTAAATGTACAGATTTACAAAGAGAGGGTGATTCGGTGAAGCCAAACTATAAACAAAAGTCAATTTGATTGTCGATATATTTCTTTCGATGTTTTGGTATATTTAACGAGCAAGTTGCATGTTTAAATAGAATTATTTTGAGCAGAGTCGAAGAAAAATCAGGAGTGATAAATATATCCATAAAACACGTCAAGAACATGGGCATAGTGATGACGTGGTTAGATTTCAATTTTGTTTTAACGTTCCAACATTTATCTTATAATTCAATTCTCACGTGTGGAGAATTCAGAAAGCTTCGCTATCTTCGTGGCTATGGGAATGAAAGTTGACCATTGGGATATTTCTGTCCTTGTTGTTTATTTGGTAGCTCTGCTGTCAACTGGATTATATGTAAGACTTTTGTTTGCCTGAATATTTTTCACGCTTTGAATTCGCTCTTAGATATATAGTAGACGATTTTCAGCGACAGGAAATAGTAGGTATTAGGGCAGTGGTTGAAAATCTTTGTGTGATTATAAAATCATTTGTGTTCTACTAATAGCGTGTGAGTTTTTAGGTAAGTTTCAAATGACAATAACTCTAAACCTGTCTTCAAGATGACATCTGGTCTTATATTTTATTTGCATTTCATTCATTTTTCTGTCAATTAAAATATAACAACCAAAACATCACTGACATTTGCTCTCGTAAAATTAAAATGTCGGGTTTATAATTTACGAGTCGGACCAAAGTTAGAGAGAAGTATGTATAGAGAATCGGGTTGAGTTTCTGAGATGAAACAGCAGTATTCATGCATATCGCTTTGTACAACATGTGAAAAAGTAACCCGCAATCCAAGCTCTCCACTTTGAGAAAATTGTGGAATTTTTTCCAGATCATCTTGAAATTAATTTTACTGAGCGTCTGGAAATATTTTGAAGTAGCCTCAAAACGGCGGAAATTACGGGTCCTTAATCGCATTTTCCTCGAACTTTCCGGTTTTGATCCTAGTTTTCATCTCGAAGAAACCCAGACAAGTTTGCTAGATGGAGTGCTGAAATTATTTTAATTTCTGCCGCTAAGATTTTCAAAAATAACGTCTTTTACATACTCGGGGTTAACTTTCTATCAATCTCTTTGTCAAAATATTGACTAACTACAGTGACTGGTTTTCCAACTATACTAACCTCTCGACTAAAACTGGAGTCGGTGAATGAAGATTTTCATTTTTACACCCAGCGGTCAGAAATAGTGTTCAAATCAACAAGCCAGCCCATTTGTCTCCACCCTTAGGTTTGAAATTTGATCCACCTGTTACAATTCTTGGATTAAAATATTTCTGAAAATCGTCATAACTCTTACGGAATTTGTGGTTTTAAGCCTAGAACACGAGTCTTTAATTATTAATTCAGCCGGGATACTTAAAGTTTGAGGATTGATTTTGAAATATGTTTGGGTTTCGGTAGCCATAATAATCTGAGCTGACCTACTTTCTAACTTGTCATAACTACTGGGTTGTTGCATATGCTTAATTATATCACTTAATATTTATCTCTAGTCTCTATTTACTCACCGACGTGGAACTATTACTGACTACTTTCTAGCTGGGCGATTTGTTACGTGGCTTCCGGTAAAACACCTTTGCTTTACATAGTTTTCAGATTGGCGCCTCTCTGTTTGCCACTAACGTTGGTAGTGAGCATTTTATCGGATTGGCTGGTTCTGGAGCAGCGTCAGGGATAGCTGTTGGGGCATTCGAATTGAATGTACGATTTTTATTTTTATTTTAATAATGCTTTTAGGCTTCAGTCATACTGCAACTTCTGGGTTGGATTTTTCTTCCGGTTTATATTGCTAGTGGAGTAAATTTAACAGATTAGATTAATGCCTATTCAGGTCAGTACTCTTCCTGAATACATGAAAAAGCGTTTTGGTGGAAATCGTATCCAAATGTATCTGGCTGTTATTTCTTTAGTGCTGTACATTTTTACTAAAATTTCCGTGAGTTTCAGTCTTTCTATTTTCAGGTAGTCAAAAGAGATGCACCTGTTTAATTCCCAACAAATTTTGGCTTCATAGAAATACTTGTTTGGTTTTTTCTAAGTGAGGACAAATGTGTCATTCACAAGCAATGTCTCCTTAATGTGCACGGTTTAAGGACAGATGGTTTAAATCTAAATTGTTTCATAAGTGTACTTATCATGATCTGAATTTGATGATTACTGTTTCCGTAAACCTCCTTGTTCCGTTGAACTTCAGTTTCTCTAACTGGTTGGTATGAAAATTACTAGCCGTGCTTGATCGTTGAGTTTTGATTCAGCTAACCTTCAATTTTCTTCACCATACAGACACGTGTTAGACATGTTTTAAAGACGGTCTCATCTCTTGTAGTAAAGCATTTTCAGCTTATTGGATTGTATACCTTATATTTGTCATCATGCTGTTTGTTTAGCAAATATATGGAGTTGGTACGGCTTTGGGCAGAAACTGAGTATCTTTTAATATACATAAACGTAAACATCATTAAGAAAAGAACCAACTTCAAATTCCTGAGGCAGTTTAGTTGTAGTTGCATTCTTTGCTCATGTTTCCAGTTAATCACAAAGTACACCAACCACATGAGTTTATGTTGGCCAGCATGTATGGTTGAATACGTGTTACTAACGGTATCTCGTGATCCGTTGTATAACGCATAATCCATTGTTTGAGTGAATTAAAGAAAAGTAGACTGATATCTTATGTCAGTAGCAAATTCGGACTTGCACATGCTGCATTATATAATACTTTTGCCAATAACATTGGTTTTGTTAAAGCAGTATTTAACTCGTATATATTTGCTACTTTTCATTGTCTGGGTTTTTTGGTTTGTTACTAATGAACAGAATATGTTCACACTATTTCTCGTACTCTCGAGACTTTGAAACCCAAATCATCCACAGTTTATACTGAAGTCGAACTTTTTAAACTCAAATATTGGTGTATGAGTCGGCTAACAACATACATTAGACAATAGGGTTCATTGCCTTCGTAGGGCTAAAATAATTGAATACATGGATAAAATCTACTTTTTTGAGGCTAGAAGTTGTAAAAATAGTGAACTTAGTTTTGTAATAGTGTTTAACTTCTTACAATTGCAGTAGTTATATTAAAAGTGTCTGTCATTAACGAGTATTTTCACTCGCATTCATTAAAATCTAGGTAAAAGGTTAACATAATCAGTGAGTAAATCTTATTTTGAAGTTATAACCGATAAAAGATTCCAGGTTTTAAGGTTCGCCATCTTAAATACACGTATATTTTATGCAGTCACTAAAACACTTGAAAGTAAATTCACAAACTGTTTTTTTAATAAATTTACAGTGATTAGAGGAGCTCCTACAAAACTCAAATGTTAGTCACACTTTAAGAAAATGAGATAAAAAGTTATTCGGAGACGTCTTTATTTCCTTATGGTTTAATTTTCAGCATGTGCCAGTTAAGGCAAAAAAGATGAATAGTTACATTATTTTCGTAAAATTACACTTATTTATTCTCAGGTGAACTTATACTCTGGCTCTCTGTTTCTAGCAGAAGCCTTGGAATGGAATACGTGGCTTTCAATTATTATACTTCTTAGTATTACAACGCTTATTACAGTAACAGGTTAGTTAATAAGACACAATTTTATAATCAACTTATTACTGGTCTTCTGCATTAGTTATGTATCTTGACACAATATACGTTTTTTAACGCGAGTAGCTATAATATTTATCTATTTATCTGCTTGACGGTTAGTTATTTCCAGGATTGTCCAGTGTTAAAAAATCTGTTTTTGGTTTTCATCTCTAAAAAGTATAAATATACAGATTTCTGGTTATATTTTGATTACATCCTCATCGTATATGAACACTTGATATAGGTTCTTTTACTGATTGCCATCAGTCATAAAATATTTTGTCATTCTTCTAGTCCATAATCACATCAGTTTTATGGTTTTGTTGGCTCTCCCTTTCTGATGTATTTGAAAATCTACTGCATAATGATATCATATAAACTTTGGCTTACTTCCTGAAATGGTGAATGTTAGAGGATCCTTTTATTCTAAGGAGAGAGTAAAATAAACTTGCTTACCCTAATCTGTAATATTAACTCTGTTGGTGCAGTTTAACAAAATGCTCGATCAATATACCAATGGGCTCTTGAGAAGCTTACATAGTTGTAGGTTCCCGTCAACGTTATAAAACCTGACTTAATTAATTAGTCACCTGAAGCTTGTTTGGATTTTAGATTATTCATCAAATTTTACAATTTGTGTACTTTCGATTATAAAACTATAAGAATGAAGGTTTTTTCTTTGTAATTATTGAATTCCTTGTTTACAAATGGCGGTTATATAGACCTACTGATTGACTGTGTAACGTTTGTTGTATTACTCAATCGTGTACTAACTTAAAACATTTTCCTGTGTTGTTTTCCTGTCTTAGGTGGGCTTGCTGCTGTCTTGTACACTGACACCCTTCAGTTTTTCGTCATGATCTTTGGTGCCACTGTGCTAACAATACTAAGTAAGTAAACTGAATTTTTAAAATATTACGACTTTTATGGTATGATGACTTAGTAGTCAAAGCTTTTTGATAGTTTTTAACTTCTCAGTGTTATTTCCTACCATTTTGATAACGTGAACTGATACACTTTGTATAACGTTAACGTAATCCACTCCTTTATAGATTTAGTCGTAGTAAACTCAAGCATACTGGCTGTAAATTTTTCTCTGTCACATTTCGGAGTCTTTAGAACAATAAATATTCGAGGCACCTACAGCTACTTTTTGAAGCATTTTTTTCCAAGTTTACATAGTGATAACTAAAATTCATTACAGGTTTTATCAAAGTTGGCGGCTTTCAAGGACTCCTTGATGCATATGGAGGAGCTATTGCAGAAGTTAACATATCATCTAGGGAAGGCGGAAACCTATTAAATACAATGATATTGACAGCCAAGGAGAAAAATATAACATCACTACTCCAGTTATCTAATGAACTGACAATTGATTCTCGTTTAAGATGCAGTCTCCCCTCCCGAAAAGCGTTTAGATTATTAAGGGAGATAAATGACCCAGACATGCCATGGCTTGGTTTCTTGCTTGGACAAACTCCTTCTTCTATTTGGTATTGGTGTGCTGATCAGGTATTTGAATAATTTTATCATATATATAACTATTATTATTATTATTAAAAGCTTTCTTGGGTGAAACTCTGGCACTTTTCTTAAAGTTGCATTTTGTACGATTTCATAAATAATGGAAGATGAAAAATTTATTATGAGTATTTACGGGAATAATTTCTGAAGGACAAATGAAGAAAGTGATTGTAGTCTTTGTAATAACGGATACAGAGTTAACCATGACTGTTTTTGAACTTCAACAGTAATTAAATACATATTAAGATAATTTAAGAAACAACACTAGTAGTAGAATTGTATTCAGACAACCAGTAGTTCAGACAAGAAGTTATACACTCAACCCAATGAATCACATGGACTTTAAGTAAGATAACCAATGGACTTAAAATTACGTGTCTTATCGTCATAAGAAGTATAAAGATAGAAGGGTTTGGCTCATAAAGCAATTACAACTAGTCATTAGTCAGCTCCATTATTTCTAATTAATTCAGTGGTTTGGTTTAGATCACTTGCATATTGACCTTATCGTTTCCTGCTTGTGCAATTCAAACGCTGTTGAGTTGATCATTGTTATTTATATATACTGAAAATTTATATCCTTTTGTTTAGAAATCAGAAGTTAGAATGAGTCCTGGCTATTAATTTGATCAAGGAAAACACAATGTTTTAAAATGAGACTTAATGAGAGTGTTACTGTATAACACATCTTCAAGCTTCGTATTATTGGAGTAATGATTCACATATTCAAAACTCCCTAAATACAAAACTCAACGTAAATGAAAAATGCTTATGTTACTGAGTACTTTGAATACAACTAATGGTTGTATAACTTGATAGAAACTCAATAATAAACCCTGTACAGGTAATCTGATAATCAATATTATTTTTTTAGCTTAGTCTTAGATTACTTTGGAGTATAGTTCAATCAAACATACTAATATAAAGATTAAAAATCCATAGTAGTTTTAAGGAGCGAAAAGTTGGGTAATATCTATGTTATTCTTTGTCTTGGCATCTAAAAGGTATGGACTAAGATATAGATTCATAAATTCTGCTTAAACTCACTAAAAACAACTTCACTAATATAGTTACTGTTTATGGTAATGATTGGAATTTTTTTACTCGTTTCTTACTTAATGACCATAACTTTTTAAGCAAAGATGAATAGTGACTGGCAATGGAATCCAGGACGCGCGTTTCGTCTTATTTGAAACTCGTCATCTGTATGTGCCCCCATCGTAGAGTTGATGTTCACTATAGGACCCAGTATCGCTCTCTTCAAACGCCATCGCGTTATCCACTTAGCTACTGAGTCTTGATGGCCACCTGCAGGTGTAATAAAGTTTTAAATTCATTTGGTGTTGTTTTACTTGTACCTTTCCATCGTTACTTAGGACTGCAATTGGTCAGTCTCATGTTGGCATATGTGAATCCTGTGCGGATTGCCTTGATAAAGCCTTAAATCACAAGCTTTTTAAGCAAAGATGGATAGTGACAAGCAGTGGAATCGAGGACGCGTGTTTCGTCCTATAACAATGGGAATATACAAGTAAACAATACCAAGTGAATTTAGTGATCATAAACATTGAAGAAATTAGACACAATAAAACATTGTTTCCCGTCTATTATTCTGAATTACAAATTCACTTGAATACATGCATAAAATGGAAGATTACAACTTATCATAAATAATAAATCTAACAATGTATATTACTAGGTTATTTTGTAGTGAAAATCTAAGCAACAGGTTTGTAAATAGTTAACTGTGATTTATGCACAGATTGAAAGAATTAATAAGTAAAGTAAAAGTTTACACTTAGGTAATGCAAGGTTGTTATCTCTTATTTTTTTTCTGTAAAATAACACATCATCACTGATAATTCAAAGATTATTTTGTTACGTATGAATGTCAGTTGAGTAGCGATCGATTAACAGAGAAACTTTAGATAGCTTCTTTTAGTTATTTGATTGTTGTACATTCGTCGTATAACATTTTTTTGGTGTAATCTATTCACATTTTAGATGATGGTTCAACGTACATTGGCAGCTAAAAGTTTGTCACATGCTCAAGGTGCAACATTAATGACTGGGATAATAAAACAAATCCCAATTTTTATTATGGTCATTCCAGGAATGATAAGTCGTGTATTATATCCAAGTAAGAAAATATATTCATCTATCATAAATTTGTCAGTAAAACAAATGATCACGGTTAACTTTGTTGATATTTTTCTCAAAATTATATTTAGAATAAAGAAATATCATTTTGATCATGTAACTCAAGTAAAATAAATACTTAGTTAGTGTGATCATCAAGTATTTACTGGATAGTTGACACAACATAAACATTTCCATAATCATTACCTTCATGTTTCTTCAACATGATATATAAATGTAGAAGCATAGAGTAATCAATCTCTTTCACTGTTCTCGGACACAATAATTGTTTTAATAGTTTTATTTTACCAATTTATTGTTTCTTTTCAAATACCACCAATGAAGGTGCATCAATTTTATATTCTCCATTGCTATCATAAATCTAAACTATTTTTATATCATAAGAATCCTTTATATTAGTCAGTCAGTCACAACGTAGAACTTCGTACGTACGTACATCAGTTCAAGTTGCCATACCACATTAGCACAGACATCCAGTTATCGATTCAAATCACATAGTGGTAGATGTAGTAAAAGTGTGAGCAGCAATCGGAAAGATTAGGGTGAGGTGGCCCGTGATCTGACTCCATTCAGAGTGTACGAGTGTTTGCTATCGCCTATTCTCGTATATCATCGTCGACTTAAATCACGTTATCCAATAACGGAATTAAATAAGTCGAATAACGAGAATCGACTTGTGAATACATATATTTTGTACATGAAGCGATTGAAACAGAGTAGAGCAAAATGACACGCAGGGAGGATGGCTGGGAAGCCAACCCCATTTTAGTCAAGCGTTAATTAATATTTATAGGCAGACAAAATAAACTACAGACATGTGATGAATCATGGGACATGAAGTGTACACACATATACGCTCATATAAAAACAGTCAAGACTGACAAGCGAATAATTGACAAGGTCAAAATATGACTCAAGTAGAATGAATAAAATGGAATGTCCGAAAACTAGAATATAAGATATATGGGCTTAAAATAATGACTGACACTACAAGGGTTTGAAGATGTTATTCAAGGAGTATAATCCAGTGAAATAAATTTTAAAAGAGAAAAACAGAGACATGAAGAATTCAGTAGGGTAGAATTTGGGAGAATACAGAGTGAATGTACGTGCGCCATTGCACATGATTTTGAAGCATCTCATTCAAATTCTCTGACCATCGGTTGCTCTCGTCTCGCCGATCCCAACCAGGTGGTCTAAACCTACCAGCATGGCTCAGTCCACTTATCAGTGACTTGATGGATTTGTGCCATGTTTTGGTCTGGCCGCACCTAGCTTCCTTTCAACCTATTCCTATACCATAATACATCGCTCGTCGAGGCAGTCAGTGGTTGGATATACATAACACGTGTCCCAGCCAACTCAACTGATGAAATTTCACTACTTCATCAAGTGATTTGCCACCCTTACCTAGTACCCGTTTCCTAACAACTACATTGTTGTGACTTTATGTCCGGCTAGTTGTCACGTGATTTATCCACCAATCAAAATACGACTGATACAATCTTAGCACTGTGCCAAACCAATGACATTCACCGGTGTGAGCAGCCTAGCGTCCTTATTGGTCCTATGTCCGCCTAGCCCGTCCACTTGAGTCCAGAACACCAAATACAAGCTTCCAATATGCGAATCATATGTTTCAAACATACTGTGTTTATATTATCAAACAAACAGACCGCAACGCACCATAAAATAGGAAATAACATTTATACATAATAAAGCCAAAAAGTGGCTGTGAACGTGGGAGGCAGTAGTCAATAAACTGAACATGGCTTAAGAACAGTAAATCGTATAATAATACATTATAGGTCAACATAAAGCTTATTATGAGAGAAATATAAATATACATAATCTAATTATTGAATAGTTATACCATAAGAATGTATAGATAATATTAGTCAATTAATATGTCTCAAAAGTTACTCGTGATTTAATCTTCGCTCGGACATAACATACATTACTTACTCGGTGGTCCCAGGATATACAAGCAATGTTCCGAAGACACCTATGACCGAATACTAGTAACCTAAGAATATCCTCTACTCTTACCAGTCATGTTTCACAGTCATAAAGTAGGACAGAACGGACTGCTGCGCGGTAAACTCGTCCTTTGGTTGGTAGACGGATATCTTGACTACGCCATAAATGATGCAAGTTGGCAAGAGCTAGTCGAGCCTTGTGTATCCGTGCTGAGATCCTTTATATAAAGTAGATTCATTTCATTCTTAGAATCTCATGGTCCTTGCTATTTTTAAAACTATCTGAAAAATAAGATACACCTTAAGTATTAACAAGTAAACTTAGAAAAGTACATTTAGATGAAATAAATTATTTCTGTGATTTAATATTAAATATATGGTGAGATTATAATTTGTGGACAACCTTTGAGTGACGCTAAAGTGATCTTGAGAATGGACACCTGCTAATTAAGACTAAATTAGGGTTATAAACCAGTTGCAATTAGGTTTAGAGTTTACATCACGAACTGACATCAGTTATAATGTCAAAACTCTATTTAGCTAAATGGATGAATGAATTTCGCGCCAAAATTCAAGATTCTTTATCTTGTATCTGATTGATTCGTTCATAAGTTATAGTCTCGCCAAATTTACTTAATGAAACTCAGTTAGTCCTAGATCCACATGCATCCCATGCTATATGTTCTTATGTTAGATGGTTAAAGGTAGTCAACAAAAAACCCTGAACCTAGTTTTTACGCTGTCGAACACTCATCAGCAAGGTGTAACTGCGATCCTGAGGAAGCTGATGCTCTCTGGTAGACCCGGGCTCGCATCACCCATCTTCATAGTCTGTGGTGTTATCGCTGAATTGTTAGAGGTGTAACTAATCTTCTGTACTAGTGAGATATTTACGATTGGTTGATCATTGAGTAGTGACTAACGCCATTTTTATCTCATCATTTAGATCACTGATTATCACACTGAGGAGCGCCAAATAGCATGAAAAGTAGGTCCGGATTTTTATGTCGACTACCTGTAGCCACCCGACAGTTTATATTTATAATAAGTAAATCATGCCTTTAAAAAAGGAGGCTAGTAATACTTTAGTGTTTCAAGCTTTTCAACATTTGACTTGAATGTCAAGCCTGTGTTATCTTTAATCTGCTTTTTTTGAAATTTTCACTTTTACATATAGTATATTTCTCGTTTTCGTTTTGTGAAGCGTGAACGATAATACTAGGAAGTTTACAAAATTTCACACAACTCTAGTTTGTGTACTGAGGTTTGAAACACTTAGATTATGAATTAGCTATGGAAATTATCCAACAGTCCAAACTGGAACAAATTCGTTAAGAATGACAGTTTGATAGTCTATTTTCTAAACTACAAATTCATGTTTCAATCAGTTAATAACTAGCACCTTATACAACGATTTTTATTAAGAAGTAGTAAGTTATTATGAAATTGTAAATCACTTCTTTCCTGCAAATTAATGTCATTTAAATTTATTTTTTCTAGATGAGATTGGTTGCTTCCCTGGTTCTGATTGCCTTAAAGTTTGTGGACATCGTAATGGTTGTTCAAATATGGCATACCCAAAACTTGTGATTGATCTAATGCCTTCTGGTACGTTACTTTCACGATTGTGTACAAATGAAATGTAATTTTCTCTGTGAACTAATTAATTACTATCTTATTATCATGATTTCATTCCTTTATATGAGGTTTAGTTGAAGAATGATTTCGAAACTCAGAAAAGGGAAGATTGAATACTATTATGAACCGAATTTTACGAATTCTGTTAACACACAGGCTTGTTCGAATGATACACTGATATTACCTGTGATATTAATTTTAACTGATATTACTTGATAATCGACTTCTGAATTGTTTGAAAATTGAAGTGATAGTTACTGAATTAAGGTCCAGGTGTAAACATAAAGCATTGGACAGTAACTATATTTAACTGACGAATCCAAACTATGAAGAATTGAGTACACTGAATTACAGCATTACTTTTGTAATCTTTTTCTGATGCTAGAGGTTATTAATGTTTGTCTATCATTTTTATTTAATATAGAAATCTAAAAATTACATTTAGGTATTGTTTTTCTCTTTAATTGAAATCTTTTTGCATATTTTAGAGTTTCTGAATGTTCAACTGAATTATGTTTACGAATGTTAATTCTTACTTGGTACTTCAGTAATATGTGAGTTTTTAGTTAGATGCAAAGTGGAACCTTGGACGTATGTAAATCGGTCCAAGTTACCACAACACGTTAGCAGAGTGAAATGAATTGATCAAACTAGATCCAAAATTAGTAAAAAATATTAGATATAGAACGTCAAAAATAATCAAAGGAAGGTTCCGGGTTAGTTAGCTGTAAGTAAGGATAGAATTGTTTAAAATACAATCGTTGAGATTATTTCAAATATAAATTTCACAAATAATGATTTCTATGAATAGTTAATGTGTTATGGAATTATCAACCTAGATTTTTATATCATGTCAAAAAACATATTCGTGTCAAGAACTACATCTGCTTACTTACATGCATCCTTTACCCCTCATGGAGGAGCATAAGCCGCCTACCAGCAATCTCCATCCAACCCTGTCCTGAACAAACCTTTCCAGTTCTTTCCAGTTGTTATTCATCTTGATGTAATGTGTTCTTTGGCCTTCCTTTTTTCCGCTTGCCTCGTTATGCAGTTTGTTGATTTCCGCAATGTATATCATGCCCACCTCCAACGTCTTTTCTAATCTCCTCTTCAGACGGAAGTTGGTTTGTCCTCTTCCACAGTGGGCTGTTGCTGATAGTATCGGTTAACGAACATTAAAATCTTGCGTGGTCAATTGTTTATAAATACTTGTGCATTTTCGATTACGGTTGTATTAGTTCCGTACAGTAGGACTATCTTGACGTTCGTATTGAAGATTCTGACTTTGATGTTGGCTTGCGAACAGTTGTTTTGAGTTCCATGTGTTCTTCAACTGTAAGAATGCTGTCCTTGTTTTGCCAATCCTTGCCTTCACATCTGCATTGGATCCTCCTTGTTCATGGATGATGCTTTCCAGGTACGTGGAAGATTCCACGTGTTCCAGAGCTTTTCCATCAAGTGTGATTGAGTTGGTGTTCTCGGTGTTGTATTTGAGGATCTTACTTTTTCTTTTGTGTATGTTCAGGCCTACTGATATAGAGTCTATTGCTACACTAATTATCTTCATCTGTATTTACTGACGTGTATGGACAGGAGGGCTAGGTCATCTGCGAAGTTCAAATCATCTAGTTGATTCCGAGCTTTCTATTGTATTCCGTGCTTTCCATCAGGTGTGGAGGTCTTCATAATCCAGTCAACCATCAGAAGAAAGAGGAAGGGGGAGAGTAGACAGCCTTGCCTGACTCCAGTCCTTACTTGGAATGCATCTGTCAGCTGTCCTCCATGCGGGACTTTGTACTGTCATCCGTCTTATGAGTTCCAGATAATGTTGACAATCTTCTCAGGAACTCTTCTAGAGTTACAGCCGATACAAAGCCCGAGTAGACGTGAAGAGTCGGGCATGAGGTCGGCAACCCCATCCCGTAGAGAAAATCATGCTACGAAGAACGCCAGCCAGATCAAATAAATTAATTTAAACTACACCTTAACAAAATTAATATATTCCTTGCTATTGATAGGAGTCGTCTAATTTTTTAAATGGAATTTTACAATCTGATTGTTGATCTATCAAGTTCAAATCTTATTCTTGATTATAAGCAACCAAATTCTTTAATTTTGCACTTCCGAAAATATTCTTTCTTTAAATGTTGAGAGGTTGTCATCTAAACACTTAAAAAATTGCGAATTAAATTACGCTTGTGGACTGCAAGCACTTAAACCGCTAATTTACTTTTTCTAATTACATGAAAAAGATGTCAGTACTTTCAGGGGTTGGCCTCTTTGTAGAAAAATTTTGATAAGTTTTAGTGTTTATCATAAGTGTTCCTTTCTTTGATCTTTTCCTGAAATATTTTTTTGAATATTTCACTTCCCGCAACAATAATAACTAGGTCTCAGAGGTTTAATGTTGACTGTAATGCTCGCAGCTTTAATTTCTGATCTGACATCAATTTTCAATTCTGCGAGTACATTATTTACAGTGGATATATATCAAAAGTGGCGACGAAATGCTCAAAATATTGAATTGATGATTGTGGGTCGGTAAGTTATTAATATGATAGTATTTATTTTGTAAAATGTTTTTGTAATGTTACTTGTTCAGTGAAAATAAAACTAAATATCCTAGTCACTGACACAAAGTATCCAATAAGTATCAGAATGGGTTTTGTGGATATTATAGTAATTTAATTGTTGAATTCATGAGCCAATTAAAGCTAGACCACTATGGAAAACCTGGAAGCCCTGGACGGCCGTTTCGTCCTATTATGTGACTCCTCAGCAGTGATAGGTGGAGTTCAACTGGGTCTGTTGTGAGATAGAAACTCACTGATAACAATGGTGGATGTGTCGCTCAATTTCATGGATTAGTTGAAGTTAGACATTAACACCGTTGGGTACTGACTCAGTGGTCTAGTGGGTAAGGGCACGTGCGCAAGACTGATAGGTCCTTGTTTGGAATCTGGTGAGGCGGGATCGTGGATGCACACTGCTGAGGAGTCCCACAGCGAGACGAAACGGCCGTCCAGTGAGGTTAGGGTCACTACCTAACAATTGTTAGCTTCAAATAATTCAATTAATATTGTTCAAAGCTATGATTGTAGTCTCTTTCAACCTTTTCAAATCCTTACGTGGTTTTTTCGACTGTCTAAACATAAAAAAAGTAGACCACAGTGTATCCAGTAGTTAGAAAAGTTTAAGAAATGCTTTGCTTTGTTTTAAGGTTTCCAATGATGAAGGTTTGGGTTGGGACGTTAAAAAACATCGTTCCATTCATTAACAGCTGATCTCAATGACAAATACTTCGGCCCACACGGAAATTCCTGAAAGTTTATTATTTGAATCTAAAAAAAAACAGTGGCCTTCAAACACTGACATTCTATATGAATATTGGTATAGATACAGAGCTCGTCAACGTATTCATCATTGTCTGGTTGCGGGAATTATTAAATACTAAAGCCTTGATAATCTAAAGGTTTTGTTCATCTTTACAAATGAGAAAAAGTGATAATGACGTTTGCAAAAAGTTGAAAAATCTCGTCTATGGCTTTACGAGATTTTGAGTGAGCATGTTCCATTTCAGAAGGTTTTGAACATTGATATTCAGGTCTACTAATCTCATACTTAATGTAAAATATCACGAATTCTATTGTACACCATACCATCGATTTTCTATTACACTAAATGCAATTTCATTTAGCTATTTATTTACGGTTTATTGTATATTTAACTTTTACGGATCCATTATATGTACGTATTTATTTACTTAAAGTGTGTTTATCGCAGTATTAGTCGGGTTAAGTGTTGCATGGATCCCAATAATGCAACAGTCTCAAGGAAGTGAACTGTATATTTATATTCAAGCGATTGCTGCCTACTTTTCACCTCCTATAGCATCAGTATTTTTATGCGCTATATTATGGAAACGGTGTAGTGAAAAGGCAAGTTGTATATTTTACAGTTCATTATTGTTGTTTGATTCATTTAACTAGGAAACTAACCGTATGAAATATGTTGTGCGGTAATTTTCGCATAAATGATTCGACATAATAGATGGTTTAAAACACTTTTTTTCTCTCACAAGAATACTACGATATTACGTTTATGCAATAATGAGACTAGTCACGTTATATCAGAACCAGGATTCCCGACCCAGAATAGAGAACTTGAGTATAGACTAGACATACTTTATTCAACACAAATACAAGCAGTCAATCTCAATGAGTTCGGAGTAGAAATCAATAAGATGAAGAGAAATCATATATTTAATAGTCAGTGGGATGTGTCTATTTGTCCAATCTATACAATAATTCATATTTTACTTTCACTATCATATAGCACTGTTCTAGAAAACTTTACGTTTATCCTATATATTGTGTACTGATTGTGGTGAAGTATTGCTGACAGAGGGTATTAAGTGATACAAGTTAGAACATCTAAATGATCATGATTATCATCTATCTAGTCAACAGATTAATGTAAACAAGCTCAAGCATTCATTTAATTCATTCTTGTTTATCGCTAATTCTTCTACACTGAATACTCTGAGTCATAAAGGTGCTTTAAGCGGTTTACTGATTAGTTTTTTTTAGTCGCTGTCAGATAAATATCGACCACCATTCGTGACCCCTTGAATACAGACCTTTCATGTATATATGTGTATAATGATTAGAGAAGTGGACGCAACTTTTCCAACCCTAAGGTTTAAGTCAATCAATCGACAGCAAAATAGGTTTAGCTTATGAAATAGTAAGGGAAACTGTACAACAATACTGAGTTGTATATTGATTATTGAATTGTTTTCAAGTTTCATGCCAAATTATTATTATGATTGATTAAAACTAATAGATTCGATATGCTCTCATTGAACCATATGTAATAGATTTTCATTATTTCAATTGATTATGAACTAGATAATTGTTAAAATTTGATTCATAATCATATCACTGTTTTATCACTTCTCTATTCAAACAGTACTGATTATTTTCCAATTTAGTCACTTAGTCGATTTATTTTTCAACATTGGGTTTAATCTAATGATTATTTTATCGACAAAATCATTTACTTAAACTGTACATTCGTTATATGGATGATACATAAGTTTATAGGAGGATAGAAAAAATTTTGCATCACAAAAATGGATTCAAGAATAAATAACGGGGGGGGGCGGGATCATGGATGCGCACTGCTGAGGAGTTTCATACTAGGATGAAAAGGCCATCCAGTGGTTCCAGATTTTCCATGGTGGTCTAGCTTCTATTGACTCATGGTTTTAACCAATGAAATTACTAAAAAATCTCCACAAAACCCCTTCTGATTATAGAAGTTTTCTTGATTATTATTCAGTCTATTATATGACCTTCGTGTTTGTCACTTTTCTTCAATTGGACTATTATCTGACCCATAAATTATTTTCTTCCTTACCCCGTGATTAGTATGTAACCTCATTTGTTATTTATTCTTGAATCCATTTTTGTGATGCAAAATTTTTTCTATCCTCCTATAAACTTATGTATCATCCATATAACGAATGTACAGCTTAAGTAAATGATTTCGTCGAAAAGAAAATTTCCTTCGCTGAATTCTCTTTTTCTTATTCAATGACACTATGGGTTGTTTTGATTATTTTATCACTTTCTAACGTTACTTGGCGAACCATTGGAAATTAGGAAGCAGTAGACAGCTTTGAAGTCTTTGTTTGGGACCTTTAAACTGTTAACAGTTCAAAGCCTCTAAGTTTAATAGCGAGCGACTTATCACTAAGTTGTTAGGTTAGAAACTAATCATCTAAATTTCACAAGTAAACTTGAATCAAAATATAATACTGATCGGCGGCATATGCTCCATTGAGAGTAACAAGAGTAAGTAAGTAAATTAGTAAACCATCCGATCTAATCAGTGATATCATTTGACCGATAAAAGATGAGTGTCCTGTTGAATGCTTTCATGTTTCTTTCATGTTTCACAAATGAAAGACTTCTTTGTTCATATTTACTTCTTAAAGGGCGCTTTTTTCGGTCTGATTTATGGATTAATTATCGGTTTCATTCGAATGATTCTAACGTTTGTTTACATGGATCCAATCTGTGGTGAAGACGATACACGACCATGGATCATTAAAAACATTCACTATATGTACTTTGCTATGTTTTCATTTGGATCTACAGTCATTTTAGTTGTAATAGTTTCATTCTTTAGTGCATCACCAACACTAAGTCAATTACATCGGTTAACTTATTGGACAGCTTGGGATTCAAACAAGGAAGACTTTGATAATCAAATGAATCATTCATCCCTTTCCATCAACTCTCAGTTACACACTGACAATAATGTTATAACTGTACAGGAAAATGAGTCTAAATCTGATTATCTATCAGAATTGGGTGAGTCTAAATAGATGTGTTTTTATTTTAACTAGAGTAGTCTGTTGTTGGCGACGGTTTCAACTTATTTTTCATATACTGATACATAACCAAATATTACACCGAATATCTATCATCCTGTTTTGGAAATCAACAACTGAGAAGCCAGAAGGACAAAATCTAATTAGGTTTTTATCATTATTATCCACTAATGTATAGGCTGACAATGTAATACCAATCAGCTGGTAGTGTTGTATAAGGCTATTAGCCCCCAAACGCCCTGGTACGGCCGAGAGTGGGGAGAGTCAGCTCTCCCTCTCGAAATGCCCTCACATGGCCACATGCATACAATCACTGTCAAGGAAGTCCTACTCACTGCCTTCTGGCAGCGTTACTGTTGTTTACGAAAATGAGAGAACGAAAGGCGAATGTCCGGCACTTTAACCGGGTTGATGAATATTAAGGATCCACCTAGAGGCGTTGAAAATCCTCGATTCCAAACCAATAGTGCACATGGGCTCCAGGATCTTGAAGGAACGAATGGTGTGTTAACCAATCGTTGGTAACCGGCTACCATGAGACTGCATCTCCTGACGTTGCCTCAATTCCTTATGAGTCAGACCTTTAGGTCGAAGGCTCCGGGCGTGGCTTCTGTTTGCGCACCCGGGTAGTATCCTAGCCCTCACATAAATCGAATGATTTATGTGGCGCATATCTATTTGGTGCCTCCTTGTACCAATGTTTATGTGTTTAAATAGATAAATAAATAGAATTAGAACTTCACAAGTAGCAGTGAAATTAATGTCAAACGGGTAATCAAGCAGGTAAAAAAGATAATATCAGTGATTATAATAAGAAGTTAATTACTTATAGGTGGATTGAAGTATGTGTTTCAAGCGTCTAGAGATTACAGAATCTCTAATAACACTATTGGCAGGGATTCTAGGTACCATGTCGCTATATAACATAAGAGTTGAAAACATACAAGTAATAAAGTAATAAGGCAAAAATTAAAAGAGACTTATGAGGAAATGGAAATAAAAAATTTTGTTTTCACCCACTGCAATAAAGTTGATTATCGGTGGTCAAGGTAGAAAGAGCTGCCATACAAATTTATTTTCGACATAAAAGTTTAATTTGTGGATATAGATGCTAAGCGCTTCGATAGTATGCCACGTTTCATAACCAAGAAGCAAAGCAGATCGAGCTGCTGAGAAGCATACTTGTTGTATGGTTGATAGACGTGCATCTCACCTACTCCAAAAGCGACGTAAGTTGCCAAAAACCAGTTGAGGTTTCTGAATCCATGACGTGGTTTAGTCAGACACCAATCCATCAAATATGCTAGCATCGTTGTTCAATATGATTAAAAGACTGCATTTTGTCAGTGTCTGCCAAAGAGGAATACTTTATTTGTGCATTCAAAGTCAATAGGTGAATCTCTTGGATGTAGATCGATTCCTGAAAAATCATACCATGATGGAGTTATTTTTAAAAGAATTTCTATTACAAAGTTAAGCGGACAACTGATGAAATAAACTAGAAGTTGATAATTCTAGTGAGACTTCTCCATAAAATTTAACTCGACTATTGATGTTGGAATAAAAAGCATTTATGAGGTTGATTTACGTCTTTGATTGGGCTTTCAGCGACGGTTAATGCCTTAAAAACGTGTTTATCAATAGAGCTGAATCCCACCTTGAGGTCAAGAAATACAAATATACTTGGGCATCAGTAGGTATGTCTTCGTTTCATCACCTGACGAATGATGAGTATGTAGTTCATACATACACGTCCAGGACTAGAACCAGTCTTTTCCATTCTGCTTCGCTGTTTATCCACACTAGCCAAGCGTCAGACGACTATTAAAGCTAATATTTTAGACAGTGTATCAGTCAAACTGGTTCTCCTGTGGTTATGAAAAGAGGATATCTGTTCTTTCTTGTGGACTGAGACAATCGGAGGTGGTATCCGGTCAGATGTCATTAGGTCCAGCTCCCAAACTCTAGTTAGTGTCTCAATCAGTCTAATTACTTAAATAGTTGAGATCATGAATCAACTGAAACTAGACCATTATGGAAAATCCGGAAGTAGTGGATTACGGTTTTGTTCTATTGTGGGACTACTCAATAGTGCGCATCCACGACTCCGCCTCGCGAAGTTCGAAGCCAAAACTTATTGGTCTCTCCCGCGAACGCTTAAACTCTAGACCACTGAGACGGCCGGGATCCACCAGTGTTAATGTCTAACTTCAACTAATCTACGAAATTGAGCGACTCATTCACCATTTTCATCAGTGAGTTACTATCTCACAACAGACCCAGTTGAACTCCACTGGTCACTGCTTCTCACTAGAACTCCAGGATATACATCTTGAAGCCATTCACTAGTAAGCATATGTTGATTAGTATCAGAAGGAGTTTTGTGGCTCAGTGGTCTAGTGGTTAAGTGCTCGCGCGCGAGGCTGATAATTCCTGGGTTCGGATCCCACGAGCGGATCGTGGATGAACACTGTTGAGGAGTCCCACAGTAGGACGAAACGATCGTCGAGTGCTTCCAGGTTTTCCATGTTGGTCTAGCTTCAATTGACTCATGATCTCAACTGTTGAAATTACAACAATCTCTACAAAACCCTTCTGATACTAATTACTTAAACTGGACAACAATACTTAGAGATCACTGAGGTTAATCTAATATACACTTCTACTTTCCGCTGCTTTGGATTAGCCATTAGTTCTCGAATTTGATTAAAAATCAAGGCGGGGGTTATTTGAATCTTCCACTCTGGTTGTTTCAAAATATTGAGTATTTGGTAGGTAGATTCTGTGAATATGCTAACAACATAATAAGGGATACGTCTATATAGAAACTCACCTATATATATTCATGTTTACTGAATTATAGCTTTCCGTAGTTGTATTTTTTTGGACATTTATTCATCTTATCTACAATCTATTAAAGTATTTATTTCAGACTACTTGTGTATGCCAACTAGAAATGAACTTTCAATCAATAATCTATATTTCACAGTGTTTTGTGATTATTATTATTATTAGGTATGTAGAATATATAAATCTATTGCCTATTGTGTGATAATGATCATATGAAAGTGACCTCTTTGTCATAAAGTGAAAATACCAATCATGCATAACTAAAAATACCCAATATTTAAGACTAAAATAAACTTTGTTTGTTTGTCTCAGTATGATCTTTTATTTAGTCTGAGTGTATAAGTCATCGTACGATGGGTAGATATTATTATATATTGTTACTATGAAAGTAGGGTCTGGTAATTAGAAAAATCAAGTTTTTCTTTTACCTACGGTATCTGTAGAAAAGTATGATAAGAGTTTGAGAAATGATAAATAACTTTTAAAATAGTTGTAATGTTATTATGATGTCTTAAGATTTTACTTTGTGAAAGTGTACAAAGATGTCCTATGGTTGGGAATCAAATACAGTATTCATACTCTAGGATTCTAGAGAATATGAGTAAATAATGACTTGTTGAGAGAATTTGTTTCTCCACGAATAACATAATAAGGTTAAAACAATAGAAAAAAGATGGTGTTTGTAGTCATTACTTTACTTACTGATTTACTTACTTACTTACTCACTTACTTACTTACTTACTTACTTACGCCTGTTACTCCTAATGGAGCATAGGCCGCCAACCAGTATTCTCCAACCCACTCTGTCCTGGAACTTCCGTTCTAGTCCCATCCAATTCTTTTCATTTTTCTCATGTCCATTTCCATTTCCCGGCGTAATGTGTTCTTTGGTCTTCCTCTTTTCCTTTGCCCTTGAGGATTCCATGTGAGGGCTTACCTTGTAACCCACTTGGGTGCTTTCCTCAAACTGTGTCCTATCCACTTCCAGCGCTTCTTTATGATTTCTTCCTCCGCTATGATCTGGTTTGTTCTTTCCCACAGTAGGTTGTTGCTAATAGTGTCCGGCCAACGGATCCGAAGTGTTTTGCGTAGACAACTGTTAATAAACACCTGTATTTTCTGGATGATGGCTTTCGTAGTTCTCCAGGTTTCTGCCCCATACAATAGAACTGTCTTGACATTTGTATTGAAAATCCTGACCTTGGTGTTGGTTGACAGTTGTTTTGAGCTCCAGATGTTCTTCAGTTGTAGACAGACTGCTCTTCCTTTGCTAATCCACGCTTTCACATCTGCATCAGATCCACCCTGTCCATCAATGATGCTGCCCAAATATGTAAAGGTTTTTACATCTTCCAAATCTTCCCCGTCAATTGTGATTGGGTTGGTGCATGTTGTGTTGTATCGGAGAACCTTGCTTTTCCCTTTGTATATATTGAGACCTACTGCTGCTGAGGCTGCTGCTACACTGGTCGTTTTCTCCTGCATTTGTTGTTGCTTTTGGGATAGAAGGACCAGATCATCTGCGAAGTCTAGTTCGTCTAACTGCATCCTAGATGTCCACTGTATCCCGTGATTCCCTTCAGATGTTGATGTCTTCATGATCCAGTCGATCACCAGGAGAAAGAGAAAGGGTGAGAGTAAGCAACCTTGCCTGACGCCGTCTTTACTTCGAACGACTTTTTCAACTGTCCTCCATGCACGATTTTGCAGTTTAATCCATCATAGGAATTCTGTATGATGATGACTATCTTCTGAGGCACGCCGTAGTATCGAAGAAGCTTCCGTAGTGTTGTTTTGTTGTAGTCATTACACAAGTATTATTATATCCGTTCAGCTGGATAATGGATAATACAAACTTGCTGATGCTAACTGGATAGAAGCTGGCAAGAATCCATAGTCCCATATTCTAAATGGCGTTAGTAACATCAATGATGTTCTTTTTCCATTTAATTATGATACATTAAGATCAAAAGAGTTTGGTACTATTCAGCTGATATTCAGAATATTGATTATTCCATGTCTAATTACTTAACGACTGTTCATTCATTACTACCTGCCTTATTTGATCATAGTTTGTGCTGCGTTTGTACATTTGTATTTCTAGAAGGATCCTAACAAACATTTAATCAATTAGTTTGAAATTCCCTGGTATGGCCGAGAGTGGGGAGAGTCAGCCCTTTTCCTCAAAATGCTCTCACATGGCTACGTGCATACATTTACTGCCAAGGAAGTCCGCGTGGAGGAGGTGTTTTTTTTACGAAACTGAGAGGACGGGAAGCGAATGTCCGGCACTTGAACCGGGTTGATGGGTACGGAGGATCCACTTAGGGGAGTTGGAAAACCGTGATCCCAAACCAATGGTGCACATAAGCCCCAGGATCTTGAAGGAACAAATGGCGTATGAACATACTGTTGGAGACCGGCTACTACCAGACTGCATCTCGTAACGTTGTTTCACTGCTTTGTGGATCAGACCACTAGGTCAAAGGCTTCGAGTGTAGCTCCTTTAAGAAGACCACCTGCTTCTGTTTGGGCACATGGCAGTATTACAGACTTCACACAAATCGGATGATGATGTGTAGCGCATATCTATTTGGTGCCTCCTTGTACCAATGTTTATGTGTTAAATAAATAATTTCACTTGTGAATCGACAAGTGCATCTCTGTGCTAATGTGGTGTGGCAACTCGAACTGATGTACGTACGTACGAAGTTCTACGTTGTTACTGACTGACTGACTGACTTGTGATATTATGTTCCGAAACAAGACCTGGATAAATTTAAGTTAACACAGACAGAGCAACAATTTAATATCTCTTTAGTTAAGATTGTTTTAACTAAACTGTTTAACCTATTTCCTTTTAATGGTAATCATTAACAGCATCTTTAAATTGATAACCTGACGAATAAAGATTTCTATCATGAATAACAATATAGAAGTTTGAAAATAAATCCTTTGACTCAGTTGTGTTGATGGTGACAAGATGGTGCAACAAGACAAAAACATCATCATCATCAACAACAACATCGTTGGAAAGAAATAGACCCATAAACTGAAATTGATAATTTATTCACCGACAATGACATCAATATATTTTATTGCTGAATAAAGTTAATACATGGTGTTGTATAAATGTCTCTTATTACAACCCAGCTACATCTATTGATTAGTAGACTTGGACACCAATTTACTCGACCAGTCCCCAAATTAGTACACGGTTGAACAGGTAGGAGATTATATTCCAAATAGCAAAGGTGAATGTAAATAGGAATTACAATAAGAATAACGTTAGTATATTCATATATTTTATATGAGAAGATTCTAGATTCTTCTCTAATTATCCACTAGCATTGGTTGGATAAGAAATAGCCAATCAGTATTCCTCCAAGTAAACTTGCACGGAACATGCTTTAATCCAATCTATATCCCGCTAACACAACCTGCAGTCCCTTGTTCATGTCATGACCATAGACTCCATTGATCAAAAGTATGAAACCGCTCTGAAGTTATTTCATTTTTATATTCCAACCACTATTAGACTATAATTATCCATGTTTGAAGCTGCCCTAATAACTTCACAAATATATGTTTTTTTAGAAACCCCCATATAAGCCGTGTGCAGTATCTCGTTTGTCAGCTGCCGAAGCTATCTGACTACACTATCCTTAGTCTTTGATCAAGTGTTAACTCCACAACTCACCAGTTAGAAACTAAACACATATGATTCATAGTTCCGTTTCTAATCGCCTTAACTGTTTCGTGAACTAGCACATATCTTATTTAAGAAACTTAGTTTACCCGCAGATTCTAAAAGGTACACGAAGATCTAAGGCTATGTAGATAGTCATTATTTAACGTTAGATGAGAGAAATGTTGGTTTTACATTTTCATCTTGATAACTAGGCAGGATATTGTTCGGGTGTGCGTTTGGAAGCTGACTTTTAGTACCCTCAACATTCATGAGAGCCTTTTATAAAAAGAGCTCTTTATTTTTTCCTATCTTTTATTAAGGTGTATGTGATGTGAATGAATGAGTTAGTCAGAATGTTTTTCATTATGATTCCATATCATTTTACGCGTCTCTGGAACTGCTGGTTATCCATGGGAACTCGTTATTCTCATCACATTTCGGCGTCCCCCTGAGGCGTTACTACCATGCTGTTTATAGGTTGAGAAACGAGTTTAAATCTCGTAGAGACGTCAGTTCTCTCAAGATTACAGGTGCACCAAACCAACTGGTAGCAACTAGCACAGAAACTGGATCCAGATATTCTTCCTGATTGCTTCTAAACACCTAATACCAAAACATATTGCACATGATATTGAATCACTTATACTAGTATTCACATTGAAACTTGCCTAACAGAA